TATCTAAGGAACGTTAAGCCGCAAGAGTTTAAAATCTAAATTTTTACAACATTTCTCCATTTTACAGATGAGGAAACTGAGGGTCAGAATGGTCAAAGTATCAGGTGGATAATGGCAAAGTCAAGTCGAATCCTGGGTCCTGACACTCAGTCCAGAGTTCCTTCCACAGCAGCACAATTTACCCCAAACTCAAAAAAAAATAAAGCAGTAGTCCACCTGCTGTATTGTCCCTTCTCCTGTGTTAGCTTCTGTAAGAAAATTAGGAGTAATGACACTTATTGTTCTGAATCTATCACCTCTTAAACTTCCTCAATCTGCAAATTATCAAGACCTACCTACATATTTTTTATGTTGACTACAAAATATGGAATTTTATTTAGTCATAAAAAGTGCTTTGTCATTTTATATCTTTCTTATTTTTAAAGCAGACTCAATGACAAAACACACAGAAATAACCAAGTCAGCTGGCAACCAGATTATCCAACTGTAACTCTTGTCGTATTACTGTATTTTGTCCAAAGATGATCTTTTTAAAAAATTTAAAAACCAATTTTTAACACAGAACTCTAAAACCACCCTCCAAACTGACAGAACTTCCTAATGGTTATTTTGAATCCCAAAAGACAACAATCAGACTTAGGAATCCAGCAAGTTTTACATGGAGAATTTTGTACTCATCATTAAGTCCAGACACAATCAAAGAATGAACTATTATTACCTATCATAAAGGCTTAATGTAATTGGTAGTTGATGATCTTTGTTAATAGAAACAGTGTTCCTGCCACATTAGAAAAAGTAAAAAGAAAACATTAAGAATTTGAGTGTAATGTTTACTAAAGTGAAGTTTTCCAGAAAAAAAATTCCTTCAACAGAATAATTATGTTCCTTCAGTCACTACAAGCAAAAGCTTCAGAATCCCCTGATTGTTACTGGTAATTGCAAAAAAAAAAAAAAAAAAAAAAAAAAAAAAAAAAAAAAAAAAAAAAAAAAAAGTGCAAGAAGAGCTTCCAGACATCACAGTCCCATTTGCTGTAGCAACAATATTGAGCAGAGACAATGCTCAGCACAGATCCTGGGCTGTCCTTAAATAGGACAGCCTGCCTGTCTGTGCCCCTCTCCTCCATGTAACATGTCAGATGCCCACCCGGAGGAAAAGGCTATTTCTGTTTCTAGGCCCATTTCCAAAACCAGGGGCATGTTCTAGACAAGAACCATCCTATTAAGTGACAATGGAAGAGTGGAGCCCAAGCTGGGTACAGATTACACACCCAAGAACTGGCCAAGGTCTTACTCCCAGGCTGGCTGGCAGCTAATAGGCCACCTTGGTCTAGCCTCAGAAGTAGGTTCTCCTGCTGAGATTGCATACCTGCCCAATGCTGACAGCTGGGCCATGGAGGAGTGCAAACTCAGTGTCCAGACTTGAGGCAGGCCATAGGGAAGCTCCCCCTACAGAGATAGGGTGATAGCCAGCTGGCTTGAATCAATCCTTTGTTTTCAGACTTCCATTTTCTCTCAGCTGAAATTTCAAGTCCTGATGAAAATCCTACCATTATTTCAACCATCCAATTTGTCTTTAAAGAACTCTTTTAAAAAATCTGAACATCACTGTTTAGTGCATACTACCGAGAGTTTACTTGTTCTCTGTAACCCTAGTAACGGTGATCTGTAAATGATTCCATTCAGGTCCTTAAAGTAAAAAAGCAGCTGTTTAATATACAACACAGGACAAAAACTAAAACACGGTAGTAGCAAAATTGCAAGAAAGCATGAACACTTTCACCTCCGCTTTAAGTAGACTTCAAAAAATTCACAGAGGATGAAATGAAACACATACAAAGGTTCTTACTCTTTTGCAAATAAATACAGAAAAAAGTAAAACGAGATGAAAAGGCTAGAGGAACTACTCACTACTCCAGTATTCCTCTTTTATGTCCCTTTTACTCTCTTTAGGAAATTCAAGAAAAGCCTTCATATCAGATGAGCACACTAGTGTGCAAAGACAACAATGCTGTGTAGTTGACTATGAAACAGTAAACATAAAATGGAGTTGTATAGGGAATGCAACGGGGCCATAACATGAGATGACTTTAATGATAAAACTACAACAATTTTTGCCACATAAAAGCCCTTAAGGATCATCTTAATCAATGTTTGAATACCCTACAAAAACTGTAAACAGCAAGACAACTGTCAAAATTCCGTGGGCCAAAAGTTCCCCAACAGAATCAATGCTCAAACTCCCTGATGTCTTGTTTAACGATTACAGTACCACTCATCCAAGATATCTTTTCACAGCAAATTCATTCATTAAAAACCATTATCAAGCAACATTTTGCGTACTGGATGGTCAACAATGTTTCCTTTTACCCTTTATTTTCATAAAGATTTTATATGAAAACAAGCATAGGAAATGCATATATATATGAATGTCTTTGAGGGTCAAAGCTAGTTTAGCAAAAACAATCCGAACTGAATACCAAAGCCAAAAGATCAAAACTCTGGAAATGTCAAAATCTTCTGGGCAACCAAACTGACAGCTAAAATATTAAGACCGACCTCACTTTAACTTATAATATTCTGGTCATCCTCAGGGACCTCTTAAATTCTGGTAGCACCCTGCACGCTGTCTTCCTGGGCCATAGCCATGTATAAAGAAAACACTAGCGCTCAGCCAAGCAAGAAAAACCCCACCTCCCCCCAGCTGTAAAGCATATTCTTCCCCCTGTTGAAAACACAACTTAGGGATCCTGCTAGGTCTCTAAAGTATTCCCACGGTTTCAGACTACACTGAGCTTGTTCCTCAAAACATCTATTTAAGAAAATAAATAACAATCAGCTTGGGCACACAATCTGAAACCACTTTATGTTGTGGGCTCACTTTTTCACATATTCTTGTCTCATTTCCCGAAGACTCAGAAAACTGCCTGAAGGGTCTTATGTTTCTTTAGCATTGCACATCTGATCCCCAGCTCGCCTCTTCCTTGCATTCTCAACTAATATTCATACACTCCTAGAAAGCTATAATCAGAAAGGAGCTTTAGAGATGATTTAGTCTGCACTCCACTTGAAATGAACTAGATGAGTCATTAACCTTTTATATAGCCCAGTCAGGCAGATCTGGGTTCAAATCCTATCCATGGCATATTCTGGATACAAAAACTTTTCTCATCTATAAAACTGAGATAACACCTACCTCATAAAACCGGTGTAATGATCAAATAAAATAATATACATTTTTTAAATTTGGACTTTTCATTTTCTTTGTCCTTGTTAAGACAATCTTTTAGGCTGATTTTCGTCCTAGGTCATTTTACATTAAATTGCAAGCCCAAAAGGCAGGGCAAAAGGCAGGGCTTCTTCCCTACTGTATTTTCTAACCTTTTGGTGCCTAGTCCAGTGCTAGGCATCTTTTGAGAGAGCCATAAACCAACCGTGTGAAAGAATGCCTTAAGTCTCTATAATCACTACTTTTTAGGCAAAGGTACTGTCCTTAAGCTTCCTCCTAGAACCTACTTAGGTCTATATGTTGCCTAACCTATGCCTCTCAAACACACCTCTCCCTACTCCCTCTTCTCACACATACACAACCTTCTCTTTAGAACCAAGAACTGAAAAAAACCACTTACCCCCCCCCCCAAATTTTGCAATACAGTTAGCATCTTCACCAGAATATTCAGGCAAACTGTGGTAAGTACAAGGAGACAAGATTTGGAAGGGTTCAAGATTTCTGGAGAACTTTCTTCGGATGTGTGGCATCAAGTCCTTAAATGAGAATTACTTGTCTTTAACAAAGGCTGGCAGAAAGTGAACCAGAAACTCCAGCGAGTCCCTGAAGTTAATTATTGCACTTCACTCCACCATCCAAGCAGTGACTAATAGGATTAATTTGGGCTCTAATATCAGGTGTAAAAATCCTTCAACAAGATTCAAGTTCCATTCGAAGTGCTGGTCACTGACAATGAATTTATATTTAAGGGGGCATAAGTTTTGCTTTTGAAAACACACTGTACTAGAAAAACATTGGCTCCATACGCCAGGACGAACGTGTCATTTCTTTCCTTTGCAAAGGGCAGCAACAAAAGAACCAATGGGTGAGAAGGGGATAAGATTCCAGACCCCTGAAGAGGACACAGATTTCCACCAAAGTAAGGTTGGTTCTTTCAAGGAATATTTTTAACAGCTAAAATAGCTTAACACACAATCAGTATCTTGTATCAATTACACAAATGCCATTTATGTAACCCTGGTGGCCTGGAAAAGGACCGCAACACACAGAAATCCTACTGGCCGCAGCTGTCCCCCCTCCTGCGAGGCTTGACAGCGCGTCCAACGCGCCCAAACACCAGCCGCCAGGCTCCCCCCAGTGCCCTCCTCTCGCAGCAAACTGCCAAGATTCTCCGGCCAAACTCCACGGTCCCCAGGATTCAAAACCGCGAAAATGCGAACCCTTGCTAAGCAAACGGCAGGGCGCGTAGTAACTTTTCTTTCTCTTTTGCACGGATTGGAGATGCTGGTTTCTAACACCAACTTTTCAGGTCCACAAGCCTCCCGCACGCAATGCACCTCGAGGGGTATGACTGAGAGCGCACCAGAGGGCTGCTGAGCTCTAAAACCTCAGCGGTTTTCCGATTGCGGGAAATTCAGGATACAGCAGCCCCATTGTGATTAAATGCAGATATAAAGAAAGGAGAATGCCCTTCCCCTTAACCTCTGCTACAAGGAATAATAAAAACACGCAGCAGGCATTAGGTGGAAATCCCGGGGCCTCCCACGGGCCGATGAGGCCCGCAAAGCAGGCCATCTGGAATCTGGAGGAAGAAAGTTAGCCGGCAAAGTGGAGGGAGCCAGGGCGTGAGTGTACAGCCTCGGTCACGAGCCTGCGGAGGAAGGGGCCGAGGGGAAAGAGATGGGGGACTAAGCTGAAGAACCAGTCCCGCGTGCGACCAGGGCAGGGGTGCGGGCGCGGAGGCCCACGGAGCGGCGGCCGAAGCTCTACTTACATAACGTTTCAACTTCTTCTCCGGGGGGGACTTGCGGAGCCATCCCGAGCAGACGACTTCGCCGCCGCTCATGGTGCGCGCCTCTCCGGCTCCCGGCCGGGCAGCTGAGGGGCGGGCGGGCGCGCTCCCGACAAAGCCGACGCCTGCCGCCGGCGCGGTGGCGAGGACCTCGCTCTTCCGAGGCGCAGCCGGAGCAGACGGGACGCTCCGCCGCGCGCTGGCTCTGAGTGTCCGAGTGTCTCCCGCGCGGGTCCGCAGATGTGAACAGAAGCGGGTAGAGCCGCCAAGGCCGGCACCTCCGGGCAGGGGTCGCCGCCGAGCCGAGGGCGCCCCGGCCTCCTTTCAGTGCGCCCGCCTAGCCGCCACGCGCGCCGTCCCGCCGGCCGCCTCAGCAGCGCTCAGGCTCAGCGGCACTGTGCCCCGACACAGAGCTGAGCCTCGGTCCCCTGCGCTCCGCCCCCTAGGAACAGGACCTCCCCAGAGCTCTTTCCGAAACAGACACTACGTTGCACGCGCACACACACACACACACACACACACACACACACACACACACACAATGCCCCCGCGTGGCGCCCACTCTGGCTCGCCCCTCTCGGTTTCGATGCGCCCGGCGAAATCCTCTCTTTCCCGCTCCTCTGGAGAGGGTGGGTCACTTCCCCGCGGCGAGGGGGGCGCACAGAGGAAAACAGGGAAGCCGCGAGGATTTCGTGCGGGCGCAGGGCAGGTCCTGGGCCACGCAAGGAGCCGCCCGGGTGGCGGCGAAGCGCGGGGCGTCGCTGGGCGGCGGGCGCAGGGCAGGGCGCAGGTCCCGCCGGAGGGTGGGTCCGTTCTCGCCACCGCCGGAGAGGGCGGGGAGCGGCGGAGGAACGAGGTACTCGGCTGCTCGGCTCCGGGGACGGACCCCACTGTCCCGTCCCCTCACGCTCCTCCCGCGCCGCCTCCCCCACCGCGGGGCGCGCGGCAGGTTCAGAACGGCCCGTCCCCCGGTCCCGATCCCTCCCTCTCCCGGCCTCCCGGTTCCCTCTTCCTTTCCTCCTCCCCTTCCCACGTTCGGGCCGGCTCAGGTTACAGCCCAGACTTTCTCTGAAACTCCGCCGAGCGCTTCCAGCCAAAACAACAAGGGCCGGGGGCGGAGGGAGCGGACGGAGGGAGGGAGGGAGCGAGAGAGGGAGGGAGCGGGAGTCCGAGAGGCACCCTGGGATCTGTAGTTCAGGAAGCTGGAGCGGGGTCCTCGGCCACCCAGCTGCGGCTGCGGCTGCGGCCAGAGCCCCCAGCAGGCACCTAGTCTGGGAGGGCGGCCGAGGCCTTGGCGAGGCCGGCGCCGCCGGGGCTCGGGCCCTGGGAGGAGCGAGGAACGTTCGAGCGTCAGTTTGTGGTTTGCCATGTTGGCTCTGTCGAATGTCAGTTCAGAGTTTGTACGGAACGGAAGATCGGGAGTTGGGGGGGGGGGGGGGGGGGGGGCGGGTTTTCTCCACTTGACAGCCTGCAAATCAAAGCAGCCTGGAGGGAGACCGCGACCCCGCGGATCCCGGCCCGGGAGACGTAAGGGCGAGAACAGGAGGGAGAGGGCCAGGGGGAGCGTTCCATGGCGACTAGCCTGGCCGGGTGGACAAAGGGGTACCCACCCGGGCTGGCGTGGGCTGGTCCCGGGAGCAGGCCTGCCAGAGTGGTGGGAGTGCCTTGTGTGGCCAGAGTATTTGACTGATTCTGTCTATGGGACATTTTAAAGTCTCACATTCCCTCCGTTTGTTGCCAGTTTCTTCCACTTGACTTTGTTTAAAATCTACTCTTGGAATGTTGGACTAGAACGGGGACACTTACTGGATGTCCTACTTCTATTTGCCTACTTGTGTGTGTTTTACAATTATGACACCTGGTCCTGAGCTTAACATTGTCCTGTAGTAGAAATATCTTTTCCAGTTTATTTATGAAACAAATTTCAGAATATAAATAATCAAATAAAAAGCGCTAAAAATACTAGATAAGTTAACACAGGGATTTGTTTATTAACATGACATTCATAGTCTGGAGTTCCTCTATTTTTGAAGATGTACAATTGCAATGGAGAATTAGGTGCTGTGGTGGTGATAAAGATTCCTGCATTCAGGGAGGTGGCATTCCTGTGGTGGCATAGGATCCTAAACAAAGGGTCGGCATACAGATGGTGATAAATGTTGTGCCCTGAGGGAAACAAGTCAGTAATGTGAAACAAATCAGTAATGTGAAAGAATACTGGGGTGGACTCAGATGGGATGAGAGGGAAGTCTTCCTTGAAGGGGCATTTAGACAGATTTGTAAAATAGTGTGAAGAAGGGAGAATCAGACTTGTTTTATGAAAAAATAAAAGGGATAACCATGAGGAGGGCAGAGGGAAAGAACAAGCAAGGGGGCTTGCTTTTCTTAAATTGTAGGCCTTTTTAGAACACCAGTGATTATAATTTTTACAGCAGCTAATAAACCAAAGCAATTCTTTTAAAGTGTGTGAATACAGATTTTGTCACAAGTCCAAAGGAAAATAAATCATGGAATTGGTTTTTCACTTTGCCCATTGGAACTGTGTCTGTACACAGAGTCAAGAGTATTTATAATTAACATGCATTAGTTCACTGTTCTGTAGTTAATTGTTGGCTTTAGAAAATTTATCACTATCCATTCCTGTTACAAAGTCCTTTAAATGGAAAATTGTAGTATATCTTGTACTATTTAGCTTTTCAAAATTCAAATAATCTTTTCTTTATTTCAAATAAGGGATTCAATGATCTCATTTCTGTGAGAGAAGAATGTTTGAAGAAATCTTTAAGTATATTCTCTATGTTCAACTGTGTTGTTTTAGATTTGTATTTCTAGAGGTCAAATAAGGGTTGAGGAAAGGTTGAATATAGATACATCTTCATGCATGTATTTTAGAAAGAAAATTTGCATTTTTACATTGTATGCCATTTTTAGATTATCTGTTAAATCACATTTTATATCTTTATACATTAAAATGTATGCTAGAAAAAACCATCATACATGAGTATCTTAAATTTCATTCATACAACAAATATTTATGGTATATCCTAGTATGTACAAGTTCTTGAGGACTGAACACAATAGGGAGGAAAGCCAGACCTACTCTTGCACTTCAATACCCTGGAAAAAAACATTTTACAGATAATAAGCCCCATAACTTCTACAATACAGTCATGTGTGGTGTGAAATGGGGTAAAAGAAAAATAGAGACTGATTTGGGCATATAAAAGGAGAATCTACCCCAGGCAGGAGAATGGCTAGGTAGGGATAGACTTCCCTGAGGAAGCGACTTTAAACTGAGATCTTCAGGTTGAGTAGAGTTAGCTTGGCAAAGTAACAGAGTATTCCACACAAAAGAGAAACTGCTAGGTGCACAAGTCGTCAGGCTAGAGGGAACTCCTGAGGACCTGAATGAAGGCAGCAGTGAAGCAAATGTGAGGGACATTGGACTGGGTGAGGTTCCAGATGCTTGAAGATTAAACTTTTTCTTAGAGCAAATGATCATATAATTTCCTGTGATTCAAATCACCTCAAAGAATCGCCACTATGGACTTTGTCATTCGCCTCCAGCATCCTACTTTAACCACATACCTTCCAACTTGACCTTTCACGATCTATGTAATCTTAACAGCTTTTCTAGTCTATTTCTAGCCTATTGACACTTTTTTCTTTCTCACCATCCATCAGACCTCTCCTTTCTCCACTTTCCTCCCTTACCCAGTTTAAATTTCATGGTGCACATTTTTAATGACATGGTCCCAACTCCCAAAACCCAACTCTGGATGAGCCCAACTCTACTTTCTTCTGCACCCAAGCAACCAAGTGCTGTTGGAGAGAATCACCCAACAGGATAAGTGGCATCTCTATAAATTCATGTCCAAAGACCTCAAGTAGATCCTCAACTATCTGCAGGGGCAGATCTTAGTTTTCTGGGCCCTGTAGCTTTTATGGTTTGGGGAGTTCTTTTAAAAGATATAGAATATACAATAACAAATATACAATTTGTTAGAACAGACAATAGAATATACAATAACAAATACAAATTAGGATGAATATGTATTTGGAATGAAAAAATAAATCTCAAACATATTACTGGAGCCATGGAGATACAGAAGCCTTTCTTTTGAGAGCTCTATAATGATTTACCAGAATCCTTACACAGATTTGATTCCTGAATGCATCCTGGCTTTGCCTCCTGACTAGGACACTCCACCTCTCCCAGCAGCTCCCTGCTGTCACGGGAGCCTGTAAAATGAGTGGCCCAGTGCTGAAGTTACATTAGTGTTATGGATGTCCCTGCTACCTAGCAGTCCTACTTTCTTTAAGTGGATGGACAGTGCACTAGCCTACCCTCTGCAATAACTTGTCTTAAAAAAAAAAAAACAAACAGCTTTATTCAGATATAATTCACATACCGTAAAATTCACATTTTTGAAGTACACAATTCAGTGATTTTTAATATACTTACAAAACTCTTCAACCTTATCACTTATTTCAGAATATTTCAGTGCCCCCAAAATAAACCCCATGAGCAAAGAAATTCCCACTAGTAGTTACTCCCCATACCCCCCTCCCCCCGGCCCCTGACAACCACTTAATCTTTCTGTTGGCTTCTTTTGGACATTTATATAAGTGGAATAATACAATAAGTGGCCTTTTGTGACTGGTTTCTTTCAATTAGCATAATGTGTTCAAGGTTTATCCATGTTGTAGCATATATCAGTACCTCATTCCTTTCTATCATCAAATAATATTCCATTGTATAGATATACCATATTTTGCTTATCCATTTATCAGTTGATGGGCATTTGGATTGTTTCTACTCTTTGGCTATTATAAATAATGCTTGCAATAACAATTAAACCTTCAGACTTCTCAAGTTTCCAAACCCCCCTACCTCCCCCCCATCAACTGAAGAAGATCTTTCTTACAGCATCCTCAGAAGGCCAGAGTGCTTAGATGGAAACTTCTTCAACCTGTAGCCATTAAATATGCAAACCTGCATACTATCTTCACTCCTCCTACTCTCCCTTCTTCCTATGGAAAACAGAGAACAT